AGCACAAAGTTGCAGAAAGTGAGCAATATCTAACAGAGGGTAATTTGTGAGATTGTTAGGTAGAGGTGAAGCATAAAGCCTCACTCTGGAAACTAAAACTTTGTCATTTGAATAAGGGAAACAGGAATGAATGAATAATAACAACTCCTTTGTGAATAGAACATTCTCAGATGCAGACTCACTCAGACACCCAACTAAGTTCAGGTGTAAAATGGAAGACAAGGCAGTAGTGTGACCATACAGAGGGTAGTATAGATGCCTTCTAGTGAGAAGGTGTCTCTTGGTTAGCAGCCTTCAAGTATGCCCCAACAAGATAATAGGCAGCAAATCAACTTTTAAAATGACACCCAAAGACAATCAGGTTATCTTAACATAGGAGCCAGACCAGCAGTGGAATTATTTACAGGAGAGGCTATTCCTAGCACAGTAGCCAAAATGCTTTACATCCCTATTCCAATGTAGCTTATTTCTAGTTTCTCAAATTACCCAGAACAACAAATTACCAATTTCTTATAACCCAAGAGGTTGCTTCGTGAGTGTGAAAGTAAAGCAAGGGAGGCGACAGCCTGGTGGACACTGTATCAGCCCGTGGAGAAGCCTGAGGACTCACCCCTGCTAAGCAGAAATCTCCCCTGGGGAAGGCATTGCTTGGGATTCCCAGATGCAGCCCTGCAACTTCCTCATTCTAATTCCCACCCAGTTCCTGCTATGATTAAAGTGTCTTTAACTATCACGAATGGCCTCACAAAATCATCAAAAGTGATTTTAATGAGCTTTAGTTAAAAACGTGTATGTGTATACGTTCCCTAGCCTACGTTTTGAAGATACGTTAGAAAACTAAACTGATAATATCAGAGTTATAGACTTTACACTGGTTGAGAGTCACCAGTCTAAGACCCAAATAGCAAACTTCAATAACCATGAATGGAGTTTAAAGATGAGGGGTCCTTGAGATACATGTAGGCAATAACTTGGATTAGCAGTGCCTTTCACCCTCTGGTTCTTTGGCTGAGTCCATGAAGCCTGTATTAGTCCTAATTAGTTTAGGAATACATTCATTCCTAAATCTTCAGGTCTGTGATGGGAAGGGCTGCTGCAAAGGTCTCTAACATGCCCTGGAGACACTTTCCCCATTGTCTTGGTGATTAACATTTGGCTTTTCATTACTTATGAAAATTTTTGCAGCCGATTAGAATTTTTCCTCGGAAAACGGGATTTTCTCTTTCATCACATTGTCAGGATGTAAATTTTCTGAACTTTTATGCTGCTTCCCTTTTAAAATGGAATGTCTTTAACAATACCCAACTCACCTCTTCAATGTTTTGCTGCTTAGAAATTTCTTCTGCCAGATACCCTGAAACATCTCTCTCAAGTTCAAAGTTCCATAAACCTCTAGGGCAGGGGCAATTCAGCCAGTCTCTTTGATAAAATGTAGCAAGAGTCACTCTTACTCCAGTTTCCAACAATTTCCTCATCTCCATCTGAGACCACTTCAACCTAGATTTCATTGTCCATATCACTATTAGCCTTTTGGTTAAAGCCATTCAATAAGTCTCCACAAAGTTCCAAACTTTCCCACATTTTCCTCTCTTCAGCGCCCTCCAAACTGTTCCAACCTCTGTCTGTTACCCACTTCCAAAGCTGCTTCCACGTTTTCAGATACCTTTTCAGCAGTGTTCCACTCTACTGGTGCCAGTTTACTGTATTAATATATTTTCACATTGCTGATAAAGACATACGCAAGAATGGGCAATTTACAAAAGAAAGAGGTTTATTGGACTTATAGTTCCACGTGGCTGGGGAGGCCCCTCAATCATGATGGAAGGTGAAAAGGACGTCTCACATGGCAGCGGACAAGAGAAGAGAGCTTGTGCCAGGAAACTCCCATTTTTAAAACCATCAGATCTCATGAGACTTACCCAGTATCACAAGAACAGCATGGTAAAGACCTGTTCCTGTGATTCAATTACCTCCCACCAGGTTCTCCAATGACACGAGGAAATTGTGGGAGCTACAATTTAAGATGAGATTTGGGTGAGGACACAGCCAAATCACATCAAAGCCCAAGGGCTCTATAGAAGAAATGCAAGAGGACCTTGCGTCCCTTGAAAAGTTATGAAATTTTGCATAGAAACGCAAATGTATGTATTTCTGAGGAGACAGTCTTGGTTTTGTCAGCTTCTCAAAAATGTCATGTAACTTAAAAGTGTTTAGAAACAATTGTTGGAATTTTGATCTTTATGTATTCTAAAGCCAAACAAATGTGGGAAAATATATTTCGGTGCATAAATACTACCAAGGATATTCACAAACTGTGGGCATAAATTGGGTCACATTAATAGTACACTGTGACTCTTGAATCCTCACTTGAACCAGGATTTGTAGAAGCTCTACAATTTTTTTTTTTTTTTACTGTTTCATTAATTTTTGAGAGGAATTATTTCTCATGTCCAAATAGAGCTAACCCTTGATAGTTTGACCTCATATCTAAAAGAGGAAGGCAAATGTAATTTTTTTACACCGCATGGTTCAAACAAAATGTAAAAGGGGCTTACTTAGCCAATTTGAGGTGAACTTTACTGGGTACTTTGCGTAAAGCGTGGAAGTTTCTCAGGCTGATCTTTACATGTATTCTTTTCTCCTACCTCTTTCCTTCAGGTTAGGGAATGTTTTTGCTTTTACAGTTTCGAGGTGTGGTTTTTTTTCTTATTCCTGTGGTATTTTGTTTTGTTTTGTTTTAAATATACCATTTTATTTTTTTGGTTTTTCAGCTGTTTTGGTTTTTATAGTTTTTACACATGGCATATGAATGTGTAGGGCCACAGGCTGATTTTCATTCACTTTTTAATTAGAAAGCATTTTCTTAATGTTTATTCTAGCTGATCTGTTGTTTTTTTGTATTTTGATATTTAATTAATTTATAGATAGTGTATATTAAGGGAGATCCATTTTTTTTTCATTTTAAGAAGTCCAGATACTTCAGACCCTACTTCTTTATGTACTCAGATGACAAAAACCCATTTCCAAAGGTCACAGAGTTCCTAGATTAGAAGTCTTTAAAAAGAAATCTCTCAAGATCAGCACCTTGAAGTGGGAGGCCACATGGTACATGTAGCCTCCCATATCTTTTATAATGTTTCTGATACTCTCCACAGGCTGGGGATTGCAACATGGCAAGGGTGTTGTAAAATTTGCTCAAAACTTCGCTTTTTGAGCTGACTTGGGATATGGCTTTGCCTGCTTCCAAAATGACAGTTATGACCTTGTAAAGTTACCCAGGAATTTGAGAGCCAAACTTAATTCTATTTTCCCTGCAACATACTTAGTACCCAAGGAGGCCAGCCACAACTACCGAAAGCTAAAAGAAAAAGAAAAAGAAAAAAAGAAAGAAAGAAGGGAGGGAGGGAGGGGTTTTGGGGTAGGGAGTTGAACCAATCAGTTTATTTCCATAAATTCTCTTCTAAAAAAGTTTCTGCAGTATTCACAAGCATATTAATCTAATGTGGGAGTTGATTTTACCTGAACATATTGCAGCAAAGTTGACTAGATGGCACCTGCCAAACTCATAATGACATCATTGGGAATTATGCTGAATTTTAAATCCGGAAGATAACTTTTTAAAGAGACAGTTCACAGAGATTGATATAATTGCTTCCTGATAGTAGGTTAGGCTTCATCTTTGATGGAGCAGAGGACATCAAAGTTTACATATTTTCCCATGTAGTCATAATGCTGAACAGCAAATTAAAATATCTGAATCTCAGTTCTGGCCTTGCCACAATCTAGCAAGGCAATGTTTAGCAAGTCATTTAATGTGTCTTCACATTTCTGAAAATGAAAGCTGAATGAGATCTTTTTTTCTGGCTATATAACATTTACAAATCCTAAAATGTGAGTGATGGGAGCCCACATTCTTTTCTGAAATCTTAACTTGCCTACCTTGAGGGAGAACTCATGGGACTCTGAAGACACAGGGCTCTGCAGTGTTGGGTAAGTGTTCTCTCTGCTCTTCTAATTAGGTCAAATGGCTCCTCTAGCAGGCGTCAGATTAACTGTGCTAGTGACTTCACACTGGTCCAGATAAGGATGCAGGCTTACCTCTTCACACCCATGCAACCAGCCCAGAGTGGAGGAGGCTGACTCATGTGGGCAGATGTGTTCTCACAGACTCATCTTTCCAGTTTCAGTATCTGGCTCCTTCACCCACCACATTCCAAAAGTCTGAATATTGATGTGGCTGCTGTTAGCTCAGCCTTGAAGAATTGATGTAATAAATAAATATTTCACTTTAATATTTTTAATGTCTAACATATGCTTTTTTAAAAAAAATGACAAATAAATTAACTCTGCTGGCCTGCTCAGTTATTAGTACGCTAAGGAATCGCTCACATTTGCCTCATAGTCAATTGAACTGGACATTTGGTTCATGAAATAACTAGGTTACAACCCATTATTTTAAATAATAGCTGACAATTTATTCACTAGATAATCTAATCAATATTCCAGCAATTAACTAGTGATTACAACCTAAAATAAAAAGTTTGTGTGTATCTATTTAATTGAAATAGACAGAAATGGGCTTAATGTGGAAAATTTGTTTTCTTCTAATTAATGCTCTCATCCATCTCTAAAAATAGAAAATGTCCATAAAATTTTAGATATATTAAATAAAAGTACTTATCACAACACTTATCTTTAGCCAAATAACAGTGATTGTTGAAGTCCTAGAATATGACTATAGTGCTTTCTGCAGACTCCATCTTCTGCTATCTATCAAAAAAAATTAAAAACTAGGAGTGGAAGGAAAGAGGTTCCCTACAGTCTTTATTACCTGGTGAGAAAGTACAGGGGTTTTTATGAACTGTATCACTTGCATAAAACTCCAGGTTGGATCAGAGAAAGTTCTATACACCTGCTGAAGGATCAGGGATTACAAGTTGTGTGAGGGAGAAGTGGGAGGGGCCAGATGGTATTGGGACATCCTAGGCAGTGTTTCCGGCCTACTTTGTGTTCTCCCTTTCCTATCAACCAAGCTTGCTTAATTTGCTTCAGAATTGGGAGAAGGAATTGCTGCCAGAAAATATGTGAAAGAGTTTTTAAACCTACAGATTATTCTTACTTTAGAATGAGTTGTTACGTTGGCAGGAAAAAATAAATGCAGATGTTGGATCATGTTGGAAATCTTGTCAAAAGAGTGGATTGTCTCACACAGAATGGAGATGTGGCTTCTGATTCTGGTGGCGTATACGTTCCAGAGAAGTGTGAATTCAGTACATATGCCAACTAAAGCTGTGGACCCAGAAGCGTTCATGAATATTGTAAGTTGGGATTTTTGGGAAATGAGGTACTTTACATGTTAATGTTTGTATCTGTATATTATTTGCATTATGTATTATATTTATGCATGGTCATGATTCATACTAGAAGAGCATAGTGATTAAGTAGCATATTGTACTGGAAAGAATGCTAAACTGGATGTCAGTAGACCTGGGGTCTCCTCAGACAGATTTAGTAAACTTGGGCAAATGACTTAATCCCTTGGGCTTCAAACACAATTTAACTTTTCCTTGAACACTTTGGTTCATTCTATGAGTGGAGAAATAATTGAGGCCTTTTAAGTTAACCTCAGTCCCTTAATTATTTCCATTTTTTTTTTGTACTTTTTGGTCTTTTTTCCTTTTTTTCCATATTGTAAATGTGTCAGTCTTTGCATGTTGCTATCAGAGGACCCACTTCTAGTAGCATCTTATACCATTCTATTCTACTCTTCTTATCCTGTTTTTAGACTGATACTTCGCTGAATAGCAATAAAAGGACCCCGAGTGAGTGCTACAGAGAACCTCCTATGAGTAAAATGCATAAATGGCAATGCATCTCTTCAGGTTTACCAGGATTTTTTTTTTTTTTTGGAAGTCTTTCAAATTCTAAGCTGGGTTTTAATAATGGCCACCTGGTGGTAACACTGATCCCACAATAGGCATTGTGATACAAGCTGAAGAGATACTATTCTGTTTTAGTTTCACTGCCTTGTGCATTAGATATGATCATCCACATGTTTCAAGTCTAGAAACTGAGATTAAAGAAGTTAAACAAGTTGAACAAGGCCACACCAATGTAATAGCATAGCTACTATTTAAATTCAGGACTGCCTAAACACAAAGTCTGTAATTATAAACACTATGCAATAAACCCTCCCAGATGAGAAAGAGGAGAGGCTAAACCCCTCCAGATGAGTAAGATGATCATATGCAATGTCCATGTTCCACAGATTTAGCTAATATACTCTCAGGAAATGGAACTTTAACATGTATTTGTACTGATTTAAGATCCTTCCTACAGAAGCTTCCTTGTATGGGTTCAAAAACTGACAGGCCATAGAAATATTCTGTATCTGCACGGTGCTGAATATTAGGTTTCTTTTGACCATTCCGACAGTTAGGTGGTTTGTCTAGGTAGTTAGCTCATTGGTGGCAGTCCTCAGAAGCCATCCTCTGGCCCTGAGACTGTCCCACACATATTCCTCTGATTTGGAGGTGAGGGGAATCTCTGTAGTGGCAGACAGAGACGATCTTCCTGGGCCCCACCCGCTGGGTATACCCAGCACCTACACACTGTTGGGGTTTCAGGAGCCTGTAGTCTAAAGCCAATTGAATTGGGCTCTGCCATTAAGCAGCTATGCCTGAAAATAATAAAGTAAAATAGAACATTCATATGATTATTGGTATAAATTCAACAAAATAGAATAAAAGTAGTTGAGAATTTGAACTGTTTCTGAGGTAGGAGATGGGCAGGACTTACTTTCTGGTCCAAACAGGATAAAGTAAATAAATAAGAAGAAAGTAGCAGGTGGTGAAAAAACCCAGCAAGAACCAGCAGATGGCCTGGAAGGCATCCTCTAGCTGCCCTGGCTGCTCATTAGCATAAGAAACTCTCACCAGCACCATGACAGTTTACAAATGTCATAGCAATGACCCACAAGTTACTACCCTTTCCATGGCAATGGCCCAAAATTACTGGGCCTTTTTAAGAGATTTCTAAATAACCTGCCCCTTAATTTCCATGAAATTAAAAGTAGTTATAAGTGGGCATAAATACAGCTGCCAATAGCCCATATACTGCTGACTCTGGGAGCACTGCCTGAGTTAACCCTGCTTTACAAGAAGCAGTACCACTCAGTAGAAGATTACTGTCTAGCATTACTGGCTCGCCCTTGAATTCTTTCCTGGGCAAAGCCAAGAGCCTTCCCAAAGTAAGCGCCAATTTTGGAGCTCACCTGTCCTGCATCGGTTTGACTCTGCATGCACATCTATATGAATTATGATCTATCTTACACTTTGATAAATAACTGGCTTCATGCATGTATTTTTTCAGCAAGTGTTTATTGAGCTCCTACTAGGTCCTTGATATTGTGCTATGCACTAAGGTTAGAGAGAGCTAAGAATATCAAAGGCCCTGACTTTATGGAGCTTATAGTCCAGCAGGAAGGATAAATACTCAATTAATAGTAAGAGCAATTAGATAAAAGAAGAAAACATGAAATAGGGGGAACTAATTCAGAAAGCTTAGGAAAGCTTGGCTGAAGAAAGATTTCAAAGCCTGAAATCTTAGAGATAAATAGCAATTACTTGAGAGGTTGGTAGCAAAAAGGTCAGCACATAGGACAGCTGAAGCAGCTAATGCCAAATTCAAGGAGCTGAAAGCAGCCTATATCTGAATGATCTTTTACACATTGACTTTTTTATACTATTACAAAAGCAAAATATGCTCATTATAGAAAATTTTTAAAATGCAAAAGAATAGTCACCAATGTAGTCTGCACCCAGAACTAATTACTTTGTCATGTCTTTATCTTCATTCTAAATTTTCGACTTTGCTTCCCTACAAAGAAATGTCATGCACAATTTACTGTTTTCCAACATTTTTTCTACTTAACAATGTATATCATGAAGAATTTCCCAAGGTTGTAAATACCCTTCCACAACACCACTTCACCTTGCTGCATTACGTTCCAATTTTTTGAATAAGTATATGCTCCAGGTTGGATTATCTGGGGTACAGACTCTGAGGCAAGATTCATACAGAATGTTTATTAAGGAGAATCATCATTTGTGGAAAGGAGGTACAGAATCAGAAGTAAGCAAAGAGAGAAAGCAAGTTGGGATACAGACTCCAAAATAGCCTCACTCAACCCCATGATGAGCTCTGGGGTTAAAACTGCTCTTCAGAGATGTCCTACGTTGGCCTGAGATGACCAGGCCTTTAGTCTGCAAACAGGTCAGTCACTGGATGTGGCCGAAAGGGATGTGAACTTGGAGCAGGTGGCTTTCTACAGCTGAGGCCACTCCTACAGAAGATAACAGCCAAGGGTTATCTACTGACAGCACTTTCGGTGGATGGGACAAATCCTTCACTGTCCTGCATAAACTTTCCTGCCAAGTATAGTGTGTTGACCATCTTGCCACCTATAGACAATGTTTGCAGCATTTGCAGTTCTTTTTCTTCTCGGATGTCCATATCCCTATCCCTACCTCCTTGGCTCTTTTGAGTAACTTCTATTCAATCATTAAGGCCCAGTTCAAATTCTTCCTCCATAAGACCGTTCCTTGCCAACCCTGTTCATATTACTCCTCCTGCTCAGAATTCCTTTGCTCCTTCCTTCACTTGCATCCTTCATCCCTCATCTGACACATTACACATATCCTCTCAATAACTGCTGGTCAGATGTCCTCCATCCTCATGTTTATATATTATAGTTGTCTTATCTCCCCAAATAATCAACCACAGTTGTTCCTGAAGGGTAGTCATTAGATCAGCAGCCTCTGCTTTGCCTGGGAACTTGTATGTCAATTACTTGGATTTCACCTAGACCTGCTGTATCAGACTGTGAGCGGGGTCCAGCAATTTGTGTTTTAACAAACCCTCTAAGTAATTCTGATGCATGCTAAAATTTAAGACACTTCTATACATTTTTTAAGGTTAAGTATACAATGGTGTCTCCCACACATAAATGCACACATATACACTGCATTCCATAATACTTGGTTAATTAAGTTTTAATTATAGTGGTAGTTAATGCTTATTGAGTTCCTACTATATGCTGGGGATTACAGTTAGTGTTATTTGTGCATTATCTTTTTGCATTTATTGCAACAGTCCCATAGAGTATGAACCATTAGAATTCCTAATATACAGATGAGTGAACTGAATCACAGGAACAGTTTAACTAAATTTCTCAAAATCATACACCTTAGTTTGTATATTAGTATTAGAACCAGGGTTAAAACTCAAACAGTGGAATCCAGGAGCTTTCTCCTAACGACTATGCTTTTTTTGCCCTATATTTTACCTGGGCATGTGATGCCTGGCCTTCTTGCTCTTTTTTAAAGCAGCCCCTGATGGAAATGGCTCTCTCTATCTCTGAGTGATAATAATGGGTAAAAATAGTGAGGATGCTTAGGAGATCTTTGCAGCTGCAAGTTTTCCAAAGAATATCTACATGTAACTACTGTATAGAGTAGTGATCCAGGGGTTTGTATATAGGTAACAAGATATCTGAAACGCCTGAAATTAAATGCAAAATCATGTTTGTATATTCATTGTATATTCATTTTTACAGTTCTCCTCAAATTCACAAAGGGAACTTTAACCTGAAAATGTTAGGAATCAATGCTCTTGAGTCTGTGGTTTTAGAACTGGAAAGAACCTTAGGAAATGCATGGCCCAGGGATGCTCATAAGTTGTCCTGAAACAGGTACCCCACTGGCAGCATTAGAACCACCTGATCTGTAACCTGAAGTGGGCTCAAGACTCTGTGTGTTTCAATGCCCAGATGATTCTGATACAAAACAAGGTTTTGGAATCAGGGTTCTGATCCAGTTGTTCTCAAACATTAGGGTACATCAAAATTTCCTAAAGAGCTTGTTAAGACACAAACTACTGGGCCCAATCCTCCCAGTTCCTGATACAGTAGGTTTGGTTGGAACCTGATAATTTGCATGTCTAACGGATTAGTCCAAGTGATGCTGATGCTTTTGTCCCAGGGCCCATACTTTGAAAACCATAATTCTAGTCCAGTCTCCATATTAAGACAAAGAAAGTAAGGACTAGAGAGAGCTGGCAGATTTTTCTAAGTTAACATGATTAGCTAGGGAAAAGCAAAGACTTTGTGTCTTACAGTATCAAGGAATCTACTCTTACTTTTGGATCATTGAGAATATAGCCACAGAGAATTGAACTCAAAAGAAATTGTGCTTTTCCCACAGAGTGAAATCATCCAACATCAAGGCTACCCCTATGAGGAATATGAAGTCACAACTGAAGATGGGTATATCCTTTCTGTTAACAGAATTCCTCGAGGTTTACTGCAACCTAAGATGACAGGTATGGGTCACCCCATGTCACCGCAACACAGCACTCTTCTCTGTAGTCACAACTTCCTTGTGATTTGAATGTAGAAGAGACCCTGTGTTCTTAGTGTAGACTGAGATCCACTGTTCAGGTCAAAGGATGGTGTCAGTTGCCTCATGATCTCCATCACTATCACCCTATCCCTTCCCACCATGACCAATTATCTCAATTAAATATATAGTGTTTGCTTTTCAAAACACACCTTCAAGAAAAGTTTACTTTTGACTTATTTTAACACTTAACCCATTCCCCCAAAGCCCTCCTATATAGACATTTTAGAATATTCACTGACAATTCCTTGGACAGACCATAACAACATCTGCTCATAAAGAATCAAACCTTCATTATGGCACCTGATGCCCACTCCTGTATACTCTGTATTCCTCCTCTAAAGAGCACTTAAAATATTTAAGATGTTGCCTAGTTTTTTACTAAGGGTTTCTAAAAAACAAAGTTCTGTACATACATTTAAAATTTTTGTACATATTTCCATACAATGCCACCCTTTTGTATGTGGGATTTTCAGCTATTGTTAGCTTTTTAGACATTTGTCTTCATTACTAAAATATACCTATTTTTCATTTCTATTTGGCTGGATTCTTTTTAGTACTCTAGCGGTGTGTTTACAGCAGCAACTACATTGTCTTTCATGTGTACATATAATTTCTTGTTATTTTGATATGCCAGATACACTGATAAGTGCTTTATTTGCATTAGTCTCATTTAATTTTCACAATTACCCTAAGAAACTGCTATTCACAGATGTTAAGCAACTTACCCAAAACATCTGTGCTAGATCTAGCTAGTGAGCTGTAAAATCTGCACTCAAATCAAATCTGTCTCTCTGCCACTATAGCCAATGTCCTGAACTAGGACCAGAAAATGCTGGGCAAATGCTATCAGGCTTTGGTGTAAAGAAACTTTGGGGCTCTGTTTTACTCTAATTTGTATTTGTGTAGCTTTTTGAAAACCAGCTTTTTTTCTCACTAGCTGCCCCTCTGTGCCTTATATATGTCTAGTATGCACCTACCTCAGTGTCTTTGGACTTAAATGTCTCCCTCTGCACCACTGTTTCATCAGATGTCTATGCAACTTGCCTTGGCCCTTCTTTCCGTCTACTTGATCGCAGTTCTTCCCTGGCCACCATGTTCAAAACTGCAGCCCTTTGTACCTATTGAGTTCTCACCCCTTCCTCTGCTTACTTTTCAAGACAGTGCTTACCATCATCTGATGCGATATTTGTATGTTTGTCTATTGTCTGTCTCCCCCTAATCAGAGTTTAAACTCAGTGGGAGCAGAGACTTCATTTGCTTTGCTCAAGGCTATAACCAGTAACCGACTGCTGAGCACATTCTAGTGCTAATAAATATTTGTGGGGCGAGTTAAGGATTTTGTATAAACAAATGGACTGGGAACTCAGCCCCATAAATCCCAGGGGAGTGGGCAAAGCACAGTTCTTCCAAGAAGTAGAGTGACTTAGTAATTATTAAGTGTGGGGGTCACCTGCAGCCCCTAGTCATGGATGGAATTTGTTTTCTTACATCCTGTTAACTCAGACTGTTGACTCATTGCCCAGATGTTTTAGGTTCAACGAATCAGCCTCTTCGGCCCAGTCGGAGTAGAATACTTCCCTCTAGTGGCTGATGTTTTTCCCATGTGCCTCTTTAGAGGCAATTTCCCATATCAAAAAAAACAAGTTTTTCACTAACTCTTCAAAAAGAAAGCCAATGAAATTCATACTGAAAACAACTGAAAAATGTTTACTGAAAAGCTTAAAGCTTGTGGTAGCAGCCTTTTTATCTTTATCGAAGAATCTTAGTTGGCTTCAGTATCAAGAGAGAAAGTAAGCTGGGCCAACCTCAGAAATGACAGCTGTGTAAGTGTAGCACTTACACACTCACCTGCGGGCTGCAATTTAAATAGAAGACCGTGGCTCTATGGGGATGTTTGAAATGATATAAATATGCCAGTCCTCCTGTTAGGGGAATCACAAGAACACACTGTATGGCTAAGTAGAACTCAGCTGACCTCAGTCATGGGAAATGCCGTAAAGACTCTTAGAGGGAGCAGTGATCACCTTGGTTTGATTGTCCTGTGTTAACACAGCTGAGGTCACTTTCCTGTGTGTGAAGAAGATGAACTAAATGACCAGGCATCAAGGAAAACCTAGAATAACCCTGAGTTCCTTTCTCCTGGCCCGGCACTCACAGTCCTCAGTGACTTACACCTTCTCTCACCTGAGAGATAAAATAAGGCAGATGGAATTCATGAAGACTGTCAAGAGGCTGGATGAGTTTGGTGCAAAAGGGCTTTTGTCCTACAGGGAGATTGCATGCGTGTTTGGTTCCCCTTTATAGCAATTAATAACAAGAGCTACCCATCTGATATGAGGTCAGCAGCATGCTTAGTGCTTAATGCACAGTACCTGATTTAACCCTTTTCTGCCAAAACCCTGTGAGGTGGACAATTGTGTTCTCATTTTGCTAATGAGGACACAGCAGCTCGGAAAGTCACTTGCTTTAGAGAATTATAACAATAATAATGAGAGCAATAAAGCTATTTTTTACTACAGGCTTTTTCTAAGTGAGGTACTATGGTACCGACATTGCATTCATGATTTGATTTAATTTTCACAAGTCCTGTTGACAGCGTAATGTAGTTTTTCCTCCTAATAGGGTAGCATTTTATTAATCTTTCAGTCAAATTTGCTAATGTCAAAATAATGTATATACCTTAATTTATGAACACATTGAATTCTTAAAACTCTTTATCCTTCTCTATTATCTACTGATATCTTTATAATTCTTTATTTTGATGTAATTTCCAATTTATGGAAAAGTTCTGGGAATAGTACAAGGGACATCATACATCTTTTGTCCCAATTTACCAACTGTTTGCAGTTTTACCCCATTTATTTTCTTATTCTCTCTACCCCATCTCTTATGTGTATCTTAATACTTTTTCCAAAACCTTTGATGGTAAATTTGAGACAAGATTGTGCCTATTTGTCCTTAAGTACTTCAGCGAGTGTTTTTGAAGAACAAGAGTATTCTCTTCTATAACTGTAATACATTTATCAAAATTAGAAAACATTGATTGACATTAGTATTTAATTCAGAGTCTGTATTCAAATTTTGTCAATTGTCCCAAAGTCCTTTATAGCTATTTTCCTTCCCCCGGTCCATAATCTAATCCAGGATCATTTACCACATTTGGCCATCAAGTCTGTCTCCTTCACAAAGAAAGAATTCCTAAGGTTTTGTCTTTTTGATTTTTGCATTTTTGAAGAGTTTTGGACAGGGATTTTAATTTGGTTTATCTGATGTTTCTTCATGGTGTGATTCAGGTTATACATTTTTTGGCAGGAATAACACAAAAGTGAAGTTATATCTTTCTTGGTTCATCATATTATTAAGCAAATAAGTTGGATTGTTCCAGTACAAATATTAACTTTCATGACTTTGTTAAGGTGGTATCTGCCAGATTTTTCTAAAGTGAGTATTTTTCCTTTTGTAATTAACAAATAAGTTATGGGAAGATGCTTTCAGGATACGTAATATTCTGTATTTAAACTTTCACTCACTAATTTTAACATTCACTGATAATTTCAATCTTTCTGAATTTGTTAACTGGTATTATATTGTAAATCAATGTTTTGTATTTACTATTTGGCATTATTCTGTAAATAAGAGCTTTTCCTTCCCTTCTAATTATTTATGTGTTCATTTATTTGTCTCTATATGGATTTAAGCATTCTTAACTTATTCAGTGGGATATATTTCTTTACTATCATTATTTTGATGCTCAATATTTCTGTGTTTGTACAGTGGGAGCTCCTTCAAGCTGGCTTGTGGGTCCTTTTGACATGAAGGTCTCTCAATCACTAAACCATTATATATATGTTGTATACATATATCTTAATAATCATACTGTACCATCTACTGGGGCACTTTCAATATTTCTTAAGAGCCTGGACATGTCTGATAATAATAATTACACAAAACTAATGACAGAAGTTAATCTTTATAGATTCCTTTTCTTCCAGGCAACATGCCATCTGTTTCTTGTGCTCTATTTTATTAAAGCACAACAAAAATTTTATTTTTCTGATGAGGAAATCAAGATACATGACAAAGGTTAAGTAACTGGCCAAGATAACTAAGCTAGCAAGCAGCTGAATCAAGATTTAAACACAGGTTTGTTTGATCTGAAAGCTCTTATTCATTATTGGGTAACAAGAAAGAGAGAGAACATTTCACACAGCTGAAATTTTTTCTTTTGTGCAGGTTCCAGGCCTGTGGTGTTACTGCAGCATGGTCTAGTTGGAGGCGCTAGCAACTGGATTTCCAACCTGCCCAACAATAGCCTGGGCTTCATTCTGGCAGATGCTGGTTTTGACGTGTGGATGGGGAACAGCAGGGGAAATGCCTGGTCTCGAAAACACAAGACCCTCTCCATAGACCAAGATGAGTTCTGGGCTTTCAGGTATACGAAAATCTCAAGAATGGAGGTAGACATGTCTGCCTTTCAAAGAACTGGGTAAAAAATTATGGCTTCTAGTGTTTGGTTGATTTACTTTGTTTGAGTCATCATTATCCTTACATGATATCCTCCAATTTTTTAAAATTAACTAGTGATACTTTGGTTGAAGTAGTGAGGGATATTGAGTTCCCCATGTAGAAGGTTGGGTCTGGTTAATAGGGTGAGAATGGTGATTGATATCAGGTGACTGAGGTTGGACTGAGAAAAGTGTAGATCCATTTCCTTGTAGGAGGGTAATAGTATAATAGTACTCCAGAAGGAAATGAGACCAGGCAGCATTAAAAAAAAAAAAAAAAAAAAAAAAAAAAGACGAAAAACTATTAAGCCTAGAGTATTAGTCTGTTTTCACACTGCTATAAAGAACTTCCCGAGACTGGGTAATTTATAGAGGAAAAAGTTTTAATTGACTCACAGTTCAGCGTGGTTGAAGAGGCCTCAGGGAGCTTACAAGAAGGCGAAGGGGAAGCAGGCACCCTCTTCGCAAGGCTGCAGCAAGACATGCTGATCAAAAGGGGGAGGAGCCCCTTATAAAACCATCAGCTCTTATGAGAGTTCACTCAGTATCACGAGAACAGCATGGGGGAAACGACGCCCATAATTCAACTACCTCCACCTGGTCTCTCCCTTAACACGTGAAGATTATGAGGATTACAATTCAAGATGAGATTTGGGTGGGAATACAAAGCCTAACCATATCACCTGAGGACCATCAATTTGACTTACATGTCTCTCATGCTTGTACAAAAGATTTTTAATGCTTTTATTTAAATTACTGATAGACGTTCAACTTACTTTTTATTCTTATCAGAGAAGGGTCCCTTCAGCGTCTTTTCAACTATTCCTATAAATGAATCTGCATGGGCCTGTGCGGTTCTGTTTAACAGTAGGACAGGACACTTACACTAGGAATTGGGTTATGTGCTAGGTAAATATTCACTGAAGATGATTATTGCTATATGATAACATCTAGAGAAAAAGCAGTTGTTGATAGCTTGTGACTCCAGAGATACCCATGTATCTCTGGTTTGAAAGAAATCCATTCTGAGTGTTGTGAGGGACACAGTAACAAGCTATCAGGGCCGACAATTCAAGTGCTTGTTTGTAAACCCAACAGGGAAGGGGGAGTGCTTTTGTTTGTTTCTGGTTATAATTTTTCATATAACTTTGTCTTTTCCCCTTGTAGTTATGATGAGATGGCTAGGTTTGACCTTCCTGCAGTGATAAACTTTATTTTGCAGAAAACGGGCCAGGAAAAGATCTATTATGTCGGCTATTCACAGGGCACCACCATGGGTAGGTTCAAAGAAAAGCAGGTTTGTATACTTGGAAGAAATGTGAGCATAGGGCACCAGCTATCCCTGAAATCAGTCACCTTGTACTTCCTTCAGACACAGTCTTGTCATCTTCAGAAACATGTAGTCCCCAGCAATATGTTTAGTATATAGTTACCTCTCAATATAAATATTTTCTCAAAGCCATTATATTCAATTATTTAACTCACTGAGCACCTACTACTTGAAAGCAAATATGTTGGTGTCATAAGGACTTTATAATTTTATAGGAGAGGTAAGATACAATCACACATATGATTATCAAAATATCTTGTTAAGAACAAAATATACATTTTATGAATGAGTTCTAAAATATTCAGCATTCATGTTGACATATTTCTTCTTTTGTAGGGTTTATTGCATTTTCTACCATGCCAGAGCTGGCTCAGAAAATCAAAATGTATTTTGCTTTAGCGCCCATAGCCACTGTTAAGCATGCAAAAAGCCCTGGGGTCAAATTTTTGTTGCTGCCAGATATGATGATCAAGGTATGTGACTCCTCAGAAAATTTCCTATGCACGTTGAAAAATCTTCCAGACCAATTTCCTAAATCACAAACTTTTAAATTACAGCCACACCTTTTCTGTCATGTAATGACTACCATGTCCCTTCATATTTTTACAGGGATTATTTGGCAAAAAAGAATTTCTGTATCAGACCAGATTTCTCAGACAGTTGGTTATTTACCTTTGTGGCCAAATGATTCTTGATCAGATTTGTAGTAATATCATGTTGCTTCTGGGTGGATTCAACACCAACAATATGAACATGGTAAGTAGAAGCCTAGTAAATGCATCCCAGCATAAAGCTGGGAACCACATGGCTCCCTCCTGGAAGGAGAGCTAATGCCAATGAAGAATCAGAGGAAGAATACATTCCCAGTGACTCAGTTCTTTCCAAACTGTAAGGAAATAAGGGAAATGCTTGAGTATGGACTGAAACAAGGTTAACATAAGGGCATTGCTAGATATTAAATCACAGATTATAGATGGAAGAGATCTGAAAGCAGCTTTGCTACAGTGAATTAAATTTAAAAGAGCAATTAGCACCTGTTAGTTAACAGAGAGAACCATCATATATCATCCACCTCTACCTTCCACTGGGGTCCTTTCAGCTTATAGCTTAAGTTCTTTGGTGGAACATCAGGGACTTTCATTTTGGCTTAGGCTACCAGTTGGTATCACTAGGAAGCATACTCTCAGATGGAGATTAATCACAATGACTTGGGCTCTGCTCTAAGGATAATACCTAGAGAAAGAAAAGAAACAGGATTAGGTAGGTGAAAAAGTCAAGGAGTGATGTAACCTCAATAGGAGACTTAGTTGATCCTGCAGGGATTTGTGAAGACAGGATGACCCTTCAGAACTGTGCCATGTTAGGAAAAGAGGGCTGGGTCTTTATATACCAATACCAACCAGTCATTTAATGTGGCCACACCAGTAACAGGGAACACTGGGCAAGGTATCTCCCTGCACTGGAGCAATCCTCAAAGCAGGCTGAGAGTGGAGGGCTGTTCGGCAGCAGCACTCCCAGCAGCTGGGGCAACATTTCTTTAATCCTGAGGATTTTTTCTTCTCTAAGATAAATAATTTGATTTATAGTAACCATTTGATAAGCATATATTATATAGCAGGCTAATTTATTACCTATAACCAAGCCTATGAGTGTTACCAATATACCAACTTTGCAGATTAGTATACTAAGATTTAGTGGCTTAAAGGACTCACCCAAATTCACCTAAAAATTAAACTGTAGAGCTAGGATTTGAATACAGGCCCAATAGGGGAGCCCTCATCCTAAATATCACTAGTTAACTTTTTTTTAAGTAGAGGACAGATCTCTGATGAGAAGCTATTCTCAAATGAAAAATACAGATGTCTGGCAATACATTTAGTGACCATTTTATTTATGTGCTTGTACATATTATTATTTCATAGATAATTGCTGATAATTTAATAACGTTCCCATTTCTTAGTCTGACACCCTGGAGATTTGGTCTTGATAAGGCATACAACTTGTAAGTTTTTCTATGTCCCAAAAAATTCTCATGCTTTGTTACAGAGCCGAGCAAATGTATATGTTGCCCACACTCTTGCTGGAACATCTGTGCAAAATATTCTACACTGGAGCCAGGTAAGAATGTTGAAGTTACAGTCTTTGCTAAGTGTCCTTTCATATTTTATCTAGAATAGTCAAAGGACACCCTTTAGATAGCCCAGGGATGATTTCACACTTATTCTAAGATTAAATGCAATATCGTCAATGATTTTTTAAATTTATTTTTATTTTTATTTTATTTTGTTGCATTTTATGTTTTTGGGGTACATGTAAAGAACATGCAAGATTGTTGCATAGGTACATACATGGCAATGTGGTTTTCTGTTTTCCTCCCCATCACCTATATCTGGCATTTCTCCCCATGTTATCCCTCCCCAACTCCTCATCCCCCACTGTCCCTCCCCTAGTTACCCTACACAGGCCCCAGTGTGTGATACTCCCCTCCCTGTGTCCATGTGTTCTCATTGTTCAATACCCACCTATGAGTGAGAACATGTGGTGTTTGATTTTCTGTTCTTGTGTCAGTTTACTGAGAATGATGGTTTCCAGGTTCAACCATGTCCCTACAAAGAACTCAATCTTTTTTATGGCTGCATAGTATTCCATGGTGTATATGTGCCACATTTTCCCTGTTAATGCTGTTTTGATGGAGAATTTGATCTACATCATTGAAACTTCTCAGGAAATGGGAGGAAAGGACAGAAGTAGCCTAAGGACTTCTTTAGTGGATCTTAAAATCATGAATTGAGACGATCCAAGTGAGACTTCTCAAAGATGTGGCTGGAAAGGATTATGTTTCTGTATCTTCTCTTCAGCTCCTCCAGCCATACAGTCAAGTGGAAACAAAAATGCTAAGGTGGGATCTAACTGTCGAAAGAGATATTCACAGGAGTCCTTCACACTGCAAGCTTTACCTGCAATTACAGGAAACACACACCTCTGTGTGTCCGTGCAGTGTGTGTGAAAGAGAGAGGGTGAGAGGAAAGGAGAGAGTTCTCTTTGTGGAAGGCGGGAGCGGAGGGGGAAGGGAGAGAGAGAAAGAGAGAGAGAGATGGAGTGTGCAAGCAAGAGGGTGATTGTACCATCAAAACCAGAGAATAATTCTAAGTTGGATTAAATTGTGGTCGCTGTCTCCCAGGATCATCACCACATTGCACAGTTCCAGGGCACAATGCCCCATTGCAGCTCACAGAGTTATGGAGGATACCACTCACAGTAAGCACAATGAGGTTATACTTCCTGGAGTTGATAATGCAATGATCAAGAATTTATGTCTGTCTTTCTCTCAAAAGGCCTCATTCTTGCTTTACCATTTTCCTGAGAGGCTTATCCCAACATTGAATAGAAAAGCAGCTCCGCCTTTGCTCTCTGCTTCCCTCACAATTGCACACTGGGCAGCACATTTCCACCACCCCACCAGCCTTATCCACTGAGGCGATTGAATACCTTGTAAATTTTTGTTTCCTTTTAGGCAGTGAATTCTGGTGAACTCCGGGCATTTGACTGGGGGAGTGAGACCAAAAATCTGGAAAAATGCAATCAGGTACAAAAATCAGATACTATGTGCTGAAAATATATGCACTGGAAATGTATGACAGAGAAGTAATAGTGACAATTTATTCTAGATATGGGAACAAAATATGGAAATTTAAGCAGAAAATAATAGTTCATGTTTGACTTCATTTGAAAATGGTTAAGTTCGCAGCTTAGCCAAAAAACCTCTCTGCTTTTACAATGGAGTACAAGGCCCTTTTTGTTGCTGAGGTTATCTCCCTGAACAAGGCACTGGGATTCTCAGGAGCAAGATAGGATAGATTTAGTCAAGAGAAGAGTGTAGTCTATGGTGGATACTAGAAGGATTATTTTAGGTTAAAAAAAATGGGATGGTGGGAGTAAGTTTGTTTCATGGCACTGTAAAAAGAACATTAAATGGCAAGTAAGGATCACTGTGTAAGTTTTGCCTCTGCACTATAACCTTCTATAATAGGAGGTAGGCTGCTTTAATTTCTCAGGCTTCAATTTCTTTATCTATAAAATAAAGTAATTTGGGGCTTGGAAAATCCGTAAGCAGCCAGGCGCGGTGGCTCATGCCTATAATTCTAGCACTTGGGAGGCCAGGGCGGGCAGATCACGAGGTCAGGAGTTTGAGACCAGCCTGACCAACATGGTGAAACCCTGTTTTTATTAAAAATACAAAAATTAGCCAGGCATGGTGGCCTACACCTGTAATCCCAGCTACTCAGGAGGCTGATGCAGGAGAATCTCTTGAACCCAGGAGGCAGAGTTTGCAGTAAGCCAAGATTGCACCACTGCACTCCAGCCTGAGCAACAGAGTGAGACTCTGTCTCAAAAAAAAAAAAAAAGAAAGAAAGAAAAGAAAAAGAAGGCCCATAAGCATTCTCCCTGGTTACACTTTCAATGAATCTGTAATTTGCAGGCTAAAAAAATTTTTTAATGTTATTACATTACCCAAGAAAATATGTAGCTAATGCTATGAACTAAAATTAAAAATTAAAGTGTGGAGATTCAGAATTTCATAGGTATGCTCTTTTGAACATAAAATCTTCTGAAGATTTTTGATAATCATGTGTGTAAATGTAAATAAATATTTACCATACAGACAAAGCTGAAAGGGGCAGATTAGCCACAGCTTAGTCTTTCTTTGAGAGTCTCACATCATGATTAATATCTACTGCCATATATCTATTTAGATGTAAAATGCTAGGACACTGGACAAACTGTGCAGTGCCCCTGGATAGCAAACTCTCAGTCTTTGGTATAAGCTGCTTCTCTTGAGGTCCTTCTTTACTATTTCCTAAAATATGTCATTAAAGAAAGTATTCCTGTTCTAAGATTTTTTTTTTAATTTTTTTAAATTTTGTTTTAAGGCAGAGTCTTGTTCTGTCACTTAAGCTGTAGTGCAATGGTGCAATCTTGGCTCACTGCAACCTCCACCTCCCAGCTTCAAGCCATTCTCCTGCCTCAGCCTCCCAAGCAGCTGGGACTACAGGCACATGCCACCACACTTAGCTATTTTTTTTTTTTTTAATTTTTAGTGGAGATGTGGTTTCATCATGTTGGCCAGGCTGGTCTCAAACTCCTGACCTCAAGTGATTCACCCACCTGGGCCTCCCAAAGTGCTGGGATTCCAGGCATGAGCCACTGTGCCTAGCCCTAAGATGGTTTTAATTTATCAACATTTAATGGACTGAGTTCTAGAGAAATTGATTCATGCAGAATAGGAACCAAAAGATGGGAGCGGAAGGGAAGAGAAAACAAACACACAAAAAAAGTATCGTAGAATCACAGGAACTCAGAACGAGTCATGACATTTAGTTCGACCTTTTTAACCTGTAAGATGACAAAAAAAAAAAAAAAAAATACTAGTAGCCTCATAGAATTTTTCAACTTTTCTTATCCAAATTAGGCCATAACTCTAAATTCCTAGGGAGCCACAAAGAGAAACCAGAGCATCTAGGATTGTAGTCAAAACTCTGTGGTGGATCTCCTGAGTAAGAAATGGGCTTTACTATTTCTGTGGAAAGTTCTGGATGCTGATTAATCTCAAGGGTTCAGCTAGCCAGGCTTATTCTACTAACACTGCATAAATACAGAAAGTTCCCAGAAATCAGGAATACTAATTGGTATATTTGGTGGCGGTGGGGGCGGGGAAAAGGGTTGGAGCTGGTATTTTACTTCCTTTTGGCTCCAGTCACCTGAGTGCTGTAGGCCATAGTTCCGGAAATGCAGTCGAGCTGGGCCTGCCTCAAAGGCTGCCTGGGATCACAGAAAGACTGTGTAGATGCAGAGCCCTTCCCAGCAGGTTCCTTGCTTTTCTCTGTGAAATATAATTCTTGTCTCATGAAATGTTTGTGGAATTATATTTTAAAAGAACCAGGGCATCATTTTTTAAAACAATTTATTTACAAAATATTTAATAAGAAGAAAAACGAAGGCATTACGTGTTTTTATGTGTTTTCTCACTTGACCTAGCTAGTTATTACAGATATTATCTCCATTCACAGAAGAAACTAAGGTTCTATAATGTTAAGTAATTTTACCTTAAAATAAGGGGAGGAACAGAAATTCTTAACAGAGTCTGTGTGGCTTTGACACCTGTGTACCCTTCACCGCAGCAAATGGCACGTTTATTATATTTATTTCAAATGTAAATTATGAGTCTGAAAGTCCAACTGTTACCTAGAGTTAAGAACTATTTCTTTTCTTTAGCCAACTCCTGTAAGGTACAGAGTCAGAGATATGACGGTTCCTACAGCAATGTGGACAGGAGGTCAGGACTGGCTTTCAAATCCAGAAGACGTGAAGATGCTGCTCTCTGAAATGACCAACCTCATCTACCATAAGAATATTCCTGAATGGGCTCATGTGGATTTCATCTGGGGTTTGGATGCTCCTCGTCGTATGTACAATGAAATCATCCATCTGATGCAGCAGGAGGAGACCAATCTTTCCCAGGGACGGTGTGAGACCGTATTGTGAAGCATCCGATACTGATGAGTCTAGGACAACCTCATGAGGGAGGGGGCTAGGACCCATGAAGGCAGAATTAGGGAGGGCAGAGACCTAGTATACATTTTTCAGATTCCCTGCACTTGGCACCAAATCTGGTATTTAATTTTTTTCAGTAAATTAAAGTACTCATTGGGTAAAGAGGTTTTATATGCTATCATATATTCTATCATTTTGAAGGGTAGATTTTTACCTGACAGCCAGAAAGTACTAGACATTCTCCATGGCAGTCAGGTAAATCTCTTTAAAGCACATTTTTTTTTCTATAAGCCATATATTTTGAGCACTAAAGTAAAATGACAAATTGGGACAGACATTGAGGTCTGGAATCTCTGGATTGTTGTTGACTTTGACAAAAATAGCTAGACATTTTCACCTTGTTGCCATAGAAACATAGCACTACCTCAGGAAGCTGAAGGCTGCTTTAACAACAACAAAATTAATGTTACAGTATAGATAAAACATATGTTAAGCACTCTCAGAATAAGAGCAGGTTTTACAGTTGGTCAGGGAAGAAAATTTTATAGGATGGTGATGAGTTTTCCAATAAATGCATTCTGCATTACATAGAGTAGACATCTGCGTTTCAATGTCTACATTCTAGTCCAAGCTTGCTGACGGGTTTACAGCTTGTTGCTAGGAGACCTAATGGCTAGAAACTTCTGGCTCAATTTTCTGTCTCCAAAAATTTAAAGCTAGGAAGAAAATTGCATAATGGCATGAGCATGATGAAACAAATTGTTGTATACTTTATCCTTTAAGTTAATGTCGGACAGTCACCACAACTCATTCGCAAACCATGAATTATTTCTTCAGAACATTCTTCCACTTTTACACAATTTCAAAGATGACAGGTGTAAATTACATTGGTATTACAAGTTACATTGGCCAAATCTCTGAAACCAAATCCAAGATTAGTGTGTGTCAAAAGCATATTGTTGAAAGTATACTGGTGTGTGAAGTTCACTTGTGTGGTTTTTCTGTCCCTAAGGATCACTCGGTAGCTCAGCTCAGTGCCAGTGAATCTTAATTTATTAAGACACATTTAAAGGCTTCAGAATCTAGATCTACACACTACTATTTCCTTCATAATATAGGTTTCTTGAAGGCCTGTACACAGCTCAATATATATTGCTGGATTTGATTTTCATTAGACCTTTCAAGGACAGTAAATCTTTCATTCTTAGGCTGTATTTGTTACTACATACAGTGTGGCTGGCTTAGTCTCTGTCTGAAGCTACATGAGATTCATTCTGGATTTGCAAAATTCAATCATATTTTTAAAATGAATTTTTCACTCTGCCTATTTCACAGAGGAAGTGAGACAGATATTTTGATATTCATGATCTCTCACTTAGACAAATAATCCAGATCTTACCTCATTATATAGCTGTTTCTTGTGAAGAACTTTATCCAAATAAGTTACAACAATATTTTACATTTATCAATAAAATAAACAAAGCTAACAAGCTTGGTAATCACCTTGTATATACAAAGAGATCATGAAGATTTTTTTAAACAAACATTTTCATAGTTGCATAGTCTTGCTCAAACCAAGATGGCTTTTATTTGTAAATGAAAATCTCTAGTGGTATGCTGGTAAACCAACTTTCTGGAAACAAACAAACAAACAAATGCTTGGATTCATCAATTTTGCCAATTTCTGTGGTGTAAACATGCTCACCACTGACACTCGATGTTTTTATTGGAGTTGTTTCATCAAAGGAATATTTACATGTGAATCTCTAAGCCCACACACATACATATACCATTTTATACAAATGTACATATTTAATACTTTGATTCTTCTGCTCAGTACTCAGAGGGCGCCAGGAGGAACAGTTTTTCTCCTAGGGCATGGCAGACTGGACAGTCTTTTTATAAGAGTAATGCAACTAGGAAGAGAGAACACTGTCTCAGAAGATAACTTTGATACTCTTCTTCAGGAAAGACTGCATTTGGAACATGAGGGCTTTTTTTTTTTTTTTTTTTTTTTTTTTTTTTTTTTTTTTGAGACAGGGTCTCACTGTTGCCCAGGCTGCTCTCAAACTCCTGAGTTCAAGTGATCCTCCCACCTCAGCCTCCCAAGTAGCTGGGATTACAGGCATGTACCACTGTGCCTAGCTGAAACATCAGTTTCTGACTGAAGTGGAGACAGCAACAACTTTAGTGTTTCACTTAGAGGGATTATGGCCATGGTGACCTTGATTGAGAAAACAATGCTGTAGATAAAAAGCTCTTCTGAAACATTAACCAAGATAATCATCCTTATCCCCATAAAATGGTGACAGCCAGGTGGCCCATGGACCAACAGTCTAAAGTGAAGATAGAATCCAGTCTTTGTCTATATCTCCATCGGCGTGGTCGCAAGGATTACGATGCTTTCCGTAGCATTAATTCAATCTGGGAAAATTTTAATCTCCGTGCAATATCCAGTGAGCTCTCACCATGCTGATGGGGGAGAAAAATACAGTTATTTCCAATAGAGTACCCAAGATCTTGTAAATAGCTTAGACCAACTGACTCTCTGGCTTGGCAAGGGTTTTAAAAGGCAGTCAGTCCTAATAGTAATAGGATAGCTTTATTCCTTAATGAGGATGATTAATTTTACTGTTGTTTACATCAGAGGCAAATAATTTACTTCAACATAGGCCTAGATTAGAAGATGATGCTGTTAGAGGAATGGATGGTCCATAGACCCTTACCTTATTCTTTATTGTGGGGTCTGCATGGGCTTCCAGGAGCAGAGGAATAAGAGACTGGTTTTTCATCTCACAGGCATAATGTAACGCGGTACAGCCATACTGAAACACAAAGGCCCAAAGCTTCAGCTCATCGGTCGGGCTCTCCACAGACCATAGCACGTGGCTTCATTGGCAAATCCTTTTCATACATTGTGGTATACAACTAAGCAAAAAAACAATCTGCAAGCCATTGACAGATAACTGTTTCAAGTACTTAAGACATTTTCCTCTCTGCCTCAATGAATATGTATTTAGTGTCCTATAAGCCATCGATCTCTGTCCCTTTGTTTTCCATTTTCTGTTCTAAACTGAAGAATGCAACTTATGAAAAGCTGATGATGAATTGTGCCAAGGTTTCTTTGTAGTAGGCTATATGTCTCGGTGATCATCACCTTCATCATGTCATCATCTTTTAAAGAGTCTCCACATGGACCTTCACATAAATATTATCCTCTGTGGTTTTGATGATGATTCCTGCTGAAGAAGAGGAATGCTCTTACTGCTGCAGGACACCTACAAGATCAGTGCAGTTCTAAAGAGATGTCTCCCACACGTGATTTGTTATAGCTTATATTATGTGTTATAAACTAGTGTACCTACTCTGTTGGTACTAATTTAAAATACTACAGGTCAAAAAAATTATAGCTAGGGCATTGGTGTTCAAAATTTGGCCTTTGGAAAAGTAGCCGAGCAATCACGGTTTTGGTAAGTGAAGAAACAATATCTTTGACTAACAAAACTAACAGGGTTAGCTCTGGATCGTATTCCCTAGAAACACCTCTAAAATTATAGAAGATCAGTTGCAATTAGTTATTTTTATTAAGTGGTAGCATGACAAATGGAAGCTTTTGTTCTGGTTTTTTCATGTGTAATAAATTCTAATTACCCAAAAATACAAAACACTGTCTTACCTAGAAAGTGGATTTTAATATTCAGATAGTTTTTGAAAAATGTTTGGTATTAGAAGTGGGTGTCTGTGTGTGTACATGCATGTGTCTCAAACTCCTGAGTTCAAGTGATCCTCCCATGTCAGCCTCCTATGTAGCTGGGACTATAGGTGAATGCCACTGCACCTAGATAGCAATATCTCTGAATTTAAACGAAAAAAAAAAAAAGAAAAGAAAAGAAAAACCTTCAACAAACTTTTAACTTAATCTTTAATAGCCTCTTACTTAATGTATTTCAAAGCTATCTAAAGGAATGGCAATGTACAGTAGCTGTCAACACAAATTTATCCAAAAGTTCTGTTTGAAATAAAAGGAAAATATTATTGTCTTGTGTGTGTGTGTGTGTGTGTGCGCACGCGCACGTGCGCATGCGCACACACACACACACACATACACCACACAAAACTACCTGCATTTAAACATAATACTAGCATAGGCAAAAACAAAATGATGTAAGTAATTCATAGAAACAGGAACAGGGACACGTTCTCTGTAATAAAACAATGGTAATATACACAAGTGTGCACACACCAAATACATTAGGCATCACAAATAGAATGTTAGTGTTTTGGAATCAAATTTCCACTTGCTTACTTTTTCAATTAAGAGCTGAGAATCCAAAATTGTATTCAATCACCGTAAGCAAAACACCATATAAATAAACTTCTGTCTTCCTGTGATCATTTAGAAAGGAAGATGAGTGCAAGAGCACAGAGGTGAAAGCGAAAACAAGACCTTCCACTCACAAACAGGAAGAAGTGAGCGGATGCTGCGACTGCTGCTATCACTGCTTTTATCATCACTGGGATTTTTCTTGACCTCTGTCTTATCTCTTTGGTTTACACATGGGGCCTCTCACCAGTGGGTTGGGATTTTGGCTGCAGCAGCAGCTGTTGCCATTCAGTGAGCACTTACTACGTTCCAAGCATGTGCTAAGTGCTTTACATGAACCAGCCCAATAAAATTAGTATTATGCATATCCCCATTTTATAGATGAGGACACAGAGAGTCAAATAAGTTTACAACTTGCTCAAACTCACAGAAGTAAAAAGTGGCAAGCCTAGACTTAACTCCTTAACACTACTCTGACTGGTATTTTGTTATTAGAGCCTTTGTTTTCCTTAATGTCTCACCAACATTAAAGCCAATTCATTCTATACGTGAACCCCAGAACTTAAAGTATAATAATAAAAAAGAGCTCATATAATAAAATATAGATGCCTAAGATTAAAAAAAATAAAAACACACGTAGAAGGACTGCTTGAACTTATGATAATCATAGTTAGAAAAGATCAATGATTGGCATATAAATATGAAATTTTACTCAGATATAAGGCAAATGCATACCAAGGCTTATTCATATTCACAATATATTCACCCATTGGGTCTGGTGTAATTTTAGCTGAAATAAATAGTTCAAAATTAGGTAACTAACAAAACTCATTTCCATCCCATCTGTAACATGAATCCTGGCAGCAGCCAGCTATACAACAAGAGCTAGTTTTGGTCATTTTTAAATTGGACCAAAACTTCCAGGCAGCCAGGACCCAAAGGTCAGGTGGATTTGTTGGTCTGAGAGCCTCTTACTGGCCAAGACACTGAGATTCCTTCTAGTTGCAATGGCCTCCATTCCTCCAGGCTAAGTAATGATGCCCAGACCATAGGCTGAGGAAAGGCTTCCAGGAGATTCAAGGGAGGTGGTCACACCTGGTCATGTCAACATTCACAACCTCCACCAGGCCACAGAGCACTGATTCTTGGTTGGGAGTTCTTTAATCCCAGTTCCTACAATCATGCAAATAATTCATAAAGGATCCCAGGGACAGTTAGAAGAACTTCCTGGAGGAGTAAGCACTTGCCCATTCCCTAGCCCTTTTGGGGGTCAGACTTCTAAAGTGAAATCTTTGGGTGTCAAGAAGAGCTAAGCCAAAACTAAAATTCCTCACTGACTCTGTCTATTGTTGTGTCTTTTTTTTTCTCTCAAGAAGCCTGCTTGACACTACACATCAGCCAACACTCTGAAAGCATGCAGTCGAAGCATGGTACTTCTTTTGTTTTATATATGCATCATTTTTTATGTTCCTCAAAAAGCATACGAATTAAAGATTATCTGCATAAACTGAAAAAATACTTTATAATCAACACAGATATTATTTTCATGAATTTAGCAGAATATAAATAACCTCAAGATTGCCTGTCAGTGAAAAAAAAAGGAGAAAATAAAACTAAAGGCAAAATTGTCAAGAAAAATAAAGCAAGCAACTGTACAGATGACAAATATACTACCTACAAATACCATTTGGAATACTTTTTTAAAATTTCTAAAAGTATAAACTTACACAGTCTGTAGCATTAACTTCAACGCCAGCATTAAGTAGCATTCGTACAAGAGCCTCATTCTGCTTTGTCTTTGATACCTATTACAAATTGTAATTATAAGAAAGGTTTATTTTCAAATAGTTTCTCCAGTTTGTGCCTGAGACTATTTAATGAATAGGCTTCATTTTAATCCCAACACTCCTATGCATGTATGCATCTTTCCTAAAATTTCCCCCAGCTTCTCACCCCTCCAATATCAGCTAATTAAAGCCAAGTTCTAAGACTGTGGTCCCAAAATAGCAACAGCAGCACCTGAGAGCTGTTAGAAATGTACTTCCCAGGTCCCACCCAAAACCTACCTAATTCCACTGAGAATGGGGCCCAGTACCTGCCTTTCGCTTCCTGGCTCAAAGCTCTATAATTACTTCCCAGTGCTCTGAGGACAAAAGTAAACTCTTCAGGATGGCCTACAAAGCCCCTTGCGTTTGGGCTCCACGTATGGCCCTGGCCCCTCTCACACTCTGTGCCTCCTGGCTAACTCTGTTCTATTTACTTTGGTCTTTATTAGTCTTTCCTTCCCACCAGGGTCTCTCTTGACAGAGAATCATTGAGCAGGAAGTTCCTTCTGCCTAGAAGCCTCCTCCCTCCCTTCTTTGCCTGGCATATTCATCTTTCATTCATCAGCCCAAGTACCTCTTTCTCCAAGAAGCTTTCCCTGACCCACCAGACCAGGTGAAATCCTGCTTTCTTAGATATCCTAACACCAGTCACCTTTCTGTATCACCTGCTTCATGGTTATTTTACATGTGTTTGTGCCATTTCATTAATGACTCTCCTCACCACCTCCTAACTCTCATGGGATCAAGAACTATGCCAATTTTGTTCATCACTGTGTCCCTAACACCTGGCATAGCATCTGGCACATAGTAGGTCCATAATAAATATGTGTTAAAGAATTGTAACAAATGAATGAAATTCACTAGGGCTCCTCAGAAATTCACTTTTCCTTCCTAATGTCCTGAGATTCTGACCACAAGCCTGTTGGAGTCTTCCTCAACTTCCAGTCTCCTGAAGAAGCAAAGCAGTCCCTGCCCAGCTGGGTATAGTCCTGTAGTTCGACCCTGTCATCACCTGGGAAGCTCTATCCAGTTCTCTCTCCTTAGTCTTCCCTCTTGTGTCACCTTCTAAACTGCCTTTCTCTGCCTACCTTTCTCTGAAATAACTCAATGCTTTCCTGTCTCCTCCCCCATCATTTCCTCTCATGTCACTTACTTTTTTGTGCATCACAAATTTACAACTTTAGGCCCCATTAACAAATTGCATGTACATGCAATTAGAACCAAGCTATTCGTTATGATTAATATTTTTGCTCAGGCCTCCAACCTCTAAATATTGAACCGTCTTAGAAAGCAGAGTTGTGTGTCAATAAATTCTGAATAAGCCTTCTAATCACAGTTGTGATTTTTATCTTTAGACTTTCTAAAAAGGTTTGCAAATAAATGACAGATTCTCCCTGCCCCCAAACTGTATATATTTAAATGCTAAGTGCTAAATACACAATGAATTTTTAAAGAACTCTTTGAGGATATGAGCAGATTATGTTTTTACTAGTGATTTAAAGCTCTTTTCTCTCTCCTATAAATCCAGATAATCAAAATCAATATTATCATGTTTAATTATAGTTCCTCAAATTCTGTAGCATTTAAATACCCAATGAAATAATAACGTTTTTGACTGGCAGACTTGTTCTGGGGCTTATATTAACAGATGTAACCAATATTCACAGTTTTCCAGCTACAACAAGGAGGCAGCTTGGTCATTTAATTAGAGTAAATCATGCATCTCTTAAGTCATGTCTTGGAGGTGGAACTGAGCACAAAGGAAACTGCATGGATAAAAGTGAGTCAGTCAGTGGGCACCTGTTATCCTATTGGAAAAACAAAAACCAGTTCAAGCTTCATCTTCTACTCCTCATATGACTGCATCCCTATACCAACTACACCTTTCTTTATGCAAGAAAATTGCCGACTGCCAAGAATCACCCAAGCATGAAGAAATTCATCAAGGTGAAATTAGGCTTAAATTCTCAACAAGGTATCTTCTGTGTGTATCAGCTTCTGGATGCAAACTCTTAGGATCTGTTTTTTAACACACCACCAGAGGAGTACTTAAAAATCAGAAAGCCAGAAAGATAAATCCCAAAACACAAACTCCTCTTACAAAAAAAAGGAGAGAAAAAAAGAAGGAATCTCTTTTAAAGTTCAGATTTTTTTCCCTCTCTCTTCAGAAGAGTCTTAAAGTTATTTTTCTTTTTTAAAAAAATTATTTATTTTCCTTTAGGTGCATACTGTATCTGGCATTTCTCCCCATGTTATCCCTCCCGACCCTCCCCTCCCTCCCCATCCTCCACTATCTCTCCCCTATCCCCACAACTGTCCCCAGTGTGTGATGCTCCTTTCCCTGAGTCCACGTGTTCTCGTAGTTCAACACCTGCCTATGAGTGAGAACATAAGGTGTTTGGCTTTCTGTTCTTTCCTAAATCAACATTGCACAGATTATGTTAACATTGGTTAACTATTTTTCCTATCTTTCTTCTTGCTGTACTTCAATTACAACATTACATATGTGTTGAAACGTCAATTACAGAATACAAACCAAAGGCTTATTTTGTTATTTCTTTTTAACATGTCACTGGCTTGGAAAGAGTCAATGAGTCACACCATCAATCTCCACATTTGCCCTTTGCTCTAACAAGTGTTGTACTCACCATGAGGAAATACCCAATGAGCAGAACAGGCATTAAGAGGATAATAAGTAGATAATCAATGAAGGTAAATTTTTTCTTCACAGCATAATGCAAGCAGGTTCTCTCTTTCTAAAAGTTAAGAAAAGGATTCGTTACTAAGAAAGCATTTCAACTCAATTTACATTTTCAGATGACCATCTCAAAAAGTTTAGTTTGTGCTTTTTATTTTTCCAGTACTCATGGCATCTTTTCCTGCGGGGTTCGTCTGATTAATGAACGCAGGTTTCCAGTGAGCAGAAAAAGGAGCACCATGCAGTGTAAAGGAAAAGTTAGGGAGGGGCTCCTGGAAGACAGCAAAGGTGAAATCTACACAGTGCAGGTCATCAGAAGACAGTCTCACACCCATTTAGTTTCTGGAAAAAAAAAAAACACTGAGATATAAACTTAGGACTGAATTTAGTGTGGAAAGTGATAGCTATCCCCTAATCATCTATCATGTACGATGATCCATTTTGTGATTTGTTCATAGGAAAACTCTTAACCACATGGCTATTTTCATGTCCCTTCATGCACACAGTCTAGAAAAATGCAAATAACTCAATTTTATTCTTCAAATATGCGACTATTTGTCAGGTAATAGATGTAAGTTTCTAAGGGTTGTGGGAGATGTGAACTCTTAGGGTCTCATAATCAAAGGTGGACAGAAACATGCACAAATAAATAAAATGCAAAACAGATTGTCGTAATTGGAATACCAACCACATCAGTAAGAGGGGAGGGAGCACAAGAGAAAGAAGGGAGGTTAGTTTCCACTTATGTGAGGCACTGTACCTAAATAAGAATACTTTTTATTTTTCTAATATCAAAGCATTTATATTTTCTGTAAAAAATTTTGGAAACTAGGCAAGAATATAATGATAGAATTTAAAATTGCCCTTTACTAAATGGACCAGAGTTAACTGTTGACATTTTGCTATATCCTCTTTCAGTCTTTTTAAATGCTTAAGTGTGGAATTTTAAAATGTGGGATTATATTGCATATGCAATTTCATATCTTGCTTTTTTCACTTTAGAAATGCATATTTAGAATATGTACATTTTCCATGCCATTCAGTATTTTCAAACATATGATTGTAATGGCTGCATGGCTTAGTGTTGAGTAGAACTACTCTAATTTATTTAGACAAGCTCTGCCTTTTCAACAGTTGAAGGTTTTGTAGGGTTTTGTTTTTGTTTTTCTGTGAGGCAGTATCTTGCTCTGTCACCTAGGTGGGAGCGCAGTGGCACAATCCTAGCTCACTGCAGCCCCAACTTCCTGGGTTCAAGTGATCCTTCAACCTCAGCCTCCAAAGTAGCTAGGACTACAAGCATGTGCCACCACATCCGGATAATTTTTAATTTGTTATCATTTTGTGTAGAGATAGGGGGGGTCTCTCTATGTAGCCTAGGCTGGTCTTGATCTCCTGGTTTCAAACTATCCTTCTACCTTGGCCTCCCAAAGTACCGGGATTCCATGCATGAGCCACAGCTCATGGCCCATTTCAAGTTTTTAACTTTTCATTTTTATAAATAATATTGCCCAAACCTACTCATTCATAAAGCTTTGTCAAAATTTCCAAATTTGTGCTTTGCATACATTTCTAAAATTAGAATTTCTGGCATAAATGGTATTAATGCTTTTCATATTGCACTACCAAATTGTGTTCTAATAAGACAATAATAACTTAAACTTTCTGATCAACATTTGTTTTCTTTTTTAATCTTGGTCAGTTGACAGACAAAAACAAGGATCTTTACGTTTTAATTTAATTTGCTTTCTATAGAATCCATGTTATCTACAGGCTTGTGCTTCTGAACCGCCAGCAAAGCTGTTTGTTTGTTTAAGGCCTTTGTTTAGTATGTCTGGAAATAATTTATAAACAGATTTAAGAAATGAGAAATCACCAGTTCAAATTATTGACTTTGGAGATTAATATTTGGAGAAAAAAATTAAATGTTAATACATTAGAAACATTTTTAAAGTGGAAAATGCAAACCAAAAACTTCTGATAAAATCTATTAACCTAATGTATCCACTAATGTCTTTTTCATGGTTCATATGATACCAGAAAATCCCAGCAGGCTGGCTGAGGGCCTCCTCATCTGCAAAGCAGAGATAAAGTATCTCCTCAGCCTTGTCCATGGGCTATCTAACATCTCCTCTCTCAGTTTCCTAATAAGCCCATCTCTTAAAAGAGCACAGGAACCCACAGACATCTGTCTTCTGTCTTCTGGCACTACCACTCACCACAACTCCACATACCTGGTTTCTCAGCAGTGATCTACAGAGATCCTATTATACTCTACAATGTTGCATATCTGTTAGATTCAGCACGGGCATGACTTGCTTTTAATCCCAGCAAAACGAAAAGTAGTAAGCACAAACAAGAAAGTTCAGTAGTGATCAATTTTCTGGTAATACATTGTTACTCCAAATGAGCTAGTCTTCAAATACTTAGAAGGGGCAATGGGGGAATTCCAGTGGTTTTTCGCTTTGAATGCATGTGAGTGGGCACAGGGCAGTCATAATGATTGCAAAAAGTGACTTTTAATATTTATTCAGTGTAATTTAAACATTGCCTTCACTACAATGCAAACGCTAGATGTTCAGAAAGGGCTCCACAAGGATTTTCACAGCAATACACACATATTCTTCTCTTCCTTGGTCCTGAAGACTCCAAAGTAGCTACTATTGCATCTTTAAATATATTCTTCACACCTTTCTGTGTGATTTCAAGTAACCTCTGGTTCATGAGCTTATTTGGCCTTGGTAAATTTCTCAGTAGTATTCTTTCGTTCTACAAGTACACTATAGAATCTTCTGGAGATCAGGACAGATCTAATGAAACAGCATTTCTTTTCCAGGAAATTCTTCCCATTGCTTCTGTGATGTGACGAGGAAGATGGGCGAGAGAGAAAGAGAAGGATGAAGAGAGGAAGAAGGAAAAAAAAAAGTTCTATCGAGCCAAATGAGTGAACCATTCTCTTCCTCCTCAGAAGGACAAAGACACAATTAATCACAAATTACGGCTGCTGGTTGAACAATGTTTTATTTTGCTGTTTAGCCTAATCAAATGTCCTTGGTATGTGTCAGTCTCTCTAAATTAAGGCTAAGATAATTGTTGGTATTAGGAACTACAAGCATTTTTAAAAATGACATGCACCACTTCTAGTGATTCAAGGAGAAAGGAATTACCATGAACAATTACACTCTCCGCTCGTGTCATGACCTCACCTGGTTTTTGAGGTTGACATTAGCATTTCTTCTTAAAAGGAAGGAAACAATTCTCACATGGCCTCGCCTGCAAGCACAGATCAGGGGAGTGTCTCCATTAAAGCCGTCTTGAACATTGGCGTAGCTGTTGTCTTCTTTCACCCACCGCCACACTTGTCCAAAGTCATTCTGATAGGCTGCTTGGCAGATGGGCTGAGTCAGGATAAACAAAAGCAGGTTTTGAAACACTGGCATGATTAAACCACAAAAAGGAAAAAAAAAAAAGGTCATAACCCAATACATTAAAATTTAAGTGTTTTTAAATTGTAATGTATTGCTTTTTAGATGAGAGTTTTTGGTGTCAGTTATGCCTAGCTTTAAGTCTAGAACAAGGATTAGCCCATGAGGAACCTCCTGCATTTTCCTAAATTTGCTTGGCACACACTTATGTCCATCAAATAGGCAAATGGGTGAATAAATAAATAAAATACTACAAATTCAACTCAGTAAGGAAACTGTATAGTGCTCACAGGCAGATGGGCCTGTCAGAAAAGCAGATATTTTCTTTGAAAGCAGGTATATGGGGAAAAGTTTAGGGAAGCACTAGTGATGAAATAAGACCTACATAGCACCTTGTGTTAAGCCAGCTCAACATAGCAGAAAAGACAGATTTTTAGGCAGATAATATCCAAACAACAAATTATATGATTAACTGCAACTGATTAGATGCTGTTTATAAAAAGCATTATACAGAGCTTCATAAGGTACCATGGGAGTTTAATAGCAAGACTTCAGGTAGCCTCATATTGTCCTCTTTTCCTCCTCCGCTCCAGCCCTCCTCGACTTCTGTTCTTCAAAATTGGGTTGAACCAAACCATGTTTGGTACCTTCCATCTGGGCATCTGCCCTGAATACTCCCTCCTCATAGAACACACCCCTTCCGCTTCATCTGAATAACACCTAGCTCACCGTTCATGCCATAATTTAATTTTCACTTTATCCAAAAGTCTTTTCTGACTCCCAACATTCAGTATCTCTCCCTGACAGCAACTGACATAAATGTAACTCTTTTCTTAATTATGTACAATCAGTATTTTGGGCTAGCATCGATCAGAAGAGGTCTCGGGCGGTGCTGAGAAGGAAGGCACTGAAGATGAGGCTGTAAACTCCAGGCGGCTCAAGGATATATCCATTCAATTCACTGCTATTTCCCAGCATTCAACACAGCACTTGGCACATGGGAGGCAAACACCAAATATTTTTAGACTAATTTTCATCAGACAATGTTTTCTAAAAAGCATTTAGAATAATACCTAGAATATGGATGGTGCTTAATGTATGAAAGTTATCATTATTGCTACTGTCATTCTTTAAGAATCAAGTCAAACTCCTACTTGTGTGCCAGTCACAGGTGCCAGAGAATGGAGTATAAAATAGTCTATCTTATCTGTGTAAAATGTATCTGTCAAGTGGGAAATAGGATAGAGACACACATACATAGCGTAAACAACAAGGAAAAAGTTTTTTCAGGTAGGGGTAGATATGTAAGCACCTGTGGAAACTGGGACAGATCAAAGGGAAAGTCAAGTGGGTGTATTTGCTAATAAACTGTGGTTCTAACATAGCCAAGTATCACAATAAGTGAACTCTAATATACTTTTAAACCTAAAGGGCTACTCATGAAAGAAACATCGTAACAGAAAATTAACTGAGCAGCCACTAAAGGCAAACTTCTGTACCTTAAAAATGAAATAAACATGATACACGGGCTTTAAGTTTTGCTAGAAATGTACAAGTACACAAATCACCTATTCTGTTATCCCGAAGTCTTCCCTTTGCTAAGCCTTCCGTCAGCTGGGCACTTCAGTGTCTCGGTGTACGTGTGGCTGATGTAGAAAGGGCTGGGGCAGTTGAAACACTTATCTTGTGTCAGAAAAACAGGGTGTAATCATGGCTCTGTTACTATCTCCCCCAGTGACTGTGGACAATTCACTTCCCTACTCTATCTTCGTGCCCTCAGTCATTAAATGAAGGAGAGAAGCAGAAGTTCCCTTGGGTTTTCACATTCTGTTACTTCTGGGCCTCTAGTCTCAACCAACAAATCTTCCACATCACTGCTGGAGTCCAGGGTTATGTCAACACAATAGTGCTTTAAAACCTTCAGTGACTTGCCATTGTCCTAGCAGCAATGCACAGTCATTTGGATTTCAAAAATAAGTAAAACAAAATTAAATGCAACAAGACAATGTAAAGTTAACAACTCTTAATTTTGCCAATTCAATGTATTAAAAACAAGACTATTATTTGATAAAAGATATTTTAATAAATACAAAAATAAATGAATAATATTTTAATAAAATGTGTAAGGATATAATCACCAGGGGGTGGGGGAAGAAGTTCTTTATCTTGGATAGATTTAGTTAGCTTTATTAAAAAATTCATTTTATTGTCCTTTTAAAAGATTTTACTATAAACTAGTGAAAAGTTAATAATAGAGTGATTAGCAGTGACCACTACTCATCAAGCATTTGAAAATTGATGGTTTACCATTAAGTGCTTGAAAACAAGTGGCATTATAGCTTTTTTTTTCTAAAATATTTAAATTACAACATTAAAAAAATTAGAATATTTCATGTAGTAATCTGGCTTTCTAGCTTCTCTTTAAAAATAAAAAGTTTTGGCCAGGTGTGGTGGCTCACACCTGTAATCCTGTGCTTTGCAAGGCTGAGGGGGGTGGATCACCTGAAGTCAGGAGTTCGAGATCAGCCTGGCCAACATGGCAAAACCCTGTCCCAAATAAATAAATAAATAAATAAATAAATAAATAAATAAATAAAATTAGCCAAGTGTGGTGACCAGTGCCTATAATCCCAGCTGCTCGGGAGGCTGAGGCAGGAGAATTGCTTGAACCTGGGGGTGGGGGCGGAGGTTGCAGTAAGCCGAGATTGTGCCACTTCACCTCAGCCTGGGTGAAAGAGCAAAACTGTCTCAAATTTTTTAAAAAAGGGAAAGTTTTGATAACACTGGGCCTATATTCCTGTAGAATACCAAATAACTGGTGCTTAGTGGCAGTGACTCCAATTCTGCACAGTCCCCACTATTCCCCATCACATTACACTGGCTTATTTCAGTCCTCTGTGTTACCTGCCTGGTAACATAGACCTGCCTTTGCCTCCAGAAGCTCTCTGCTTGGGCTTCTCAAAATCTACACTGAGAGTTAACCGAAAAGAGGAAGAGGAAAAGATGGGAGTTGTTTTGCAAGAGTCACTCAGTGCTTTTGAGGATGTTCTCAACCCCGTTTGAGCAATATTACTTAAAATACTAACCCTATCTTATCTTTAGTCTTTCTTAGGCTTCTTAGATCCAAGACACAGAGTTATCAGGAAACTAAGTGTCTTCCTTCTCGGTTGAGATGTACAATTACAGTCATCCTTCACTTCACAACAGGGATACGTTCTGAGAAATGTGTTGTTAGGTGATTTTGTCACTGTGTGAACATCAGAGTATACTTACACAAATCTAGTTGTAGAGCCTGTTACTAATATGGCATAGCCGGTGGCTCCTAGGCTAAAAACCTGTACAGCATGTTACTGTACAGAATACTGTAGGCAGTTGTAATATAATTGTAAGTATTTGTGCATCTAAACACAGATGAACATATAAAATTATACAGTAAAAATATAGTGTAAAAGGTAAAATGGCACACCTGTATAGGGCAGCTCCATTATAATCTCATAGGACCACTGCTGTATATGCTATATGCTGTTCATCGCTGACTGTGACGTCATGTGGTGCATGGCTGTAATTTAATGTGAGAGTCACATTAACAGCTGACTCTATGCTGTTACAAACTTTCATTTTCCACTAGGGGGCAGCTCAGCGTAAGAAAAGCAGTGACAGCAGACAGAATGGAAGTCCAGTAGAAAGGGCTGGTTGGCCAGCCAGGAAGGAAAAAGAGAAGGGGCTGTCTGTCCATTTGGGTTGCTGGAAAAGCTATCATAAATCCCTTTTGACCCCTGAAGCTTCTGAAATTTGGGGGAACCCTGGGTGTAGAAGAAACACACCTGGGAAATTATTGTAACTATCCCCTAAGAGTCTCAGAAGCCTTCTGTCCATCCTCACTGCTAAAGTGCTACTTCAGATCTTCATCATTCTCACCAAGACTACTGCACACAATTCTTTTAATCTCACGTTTCCCATATGCCATCTCCAACTTTGTCTCCTACCACTCTCTTATCCACACCCTTGACCTAAATAAAGGTATGTGTGTTTTTTGTTTATTTGGTTGTGTGTTTTTTGAGACAGGGTCTCACTCTGTTGCCCAGGCTGGAGTGCAGTGGAGTGGTCTCTGATCACTGCAACGTTTGTCTCCCAGGTTCATGTGATTCTCTTGCCTCAACCTCCTGCATAGCTGGGATTACAGGCATGAGCCACCATGCCCGGCTAAATTTTTGTATTTTTAGTAGAGACAGGTTTCACCATGTTGGTCAGGCTGATCTCGAACTCCTTAACCTCATAATCCATCCACCTTGGCCTCTCAAAGTGCTGGGATTACAGGTGTGAGCCACCATGACTGGTGAGGGATGTGTGTTATTAACAGCCATCTCCTCAGCTAGACTGTAAGCTATATAAGGGCACTGTAGTTACAGGAGGCTACATTGTGTCTGTACTGATTCATCATTGGATCCCCAGTATCTAACATAGTGACTGACACAGGGTAGGCCTTCAATATGTATTTAGTGATTAAGAGAAGAAACAAATTATAAGATGAGCTAACAGTTATTGAATAGCTCAATTATTCTACTTTAATCCTCACAACAACCCTATAAAGTCATATTAATGTACCAATTTTGCACAGATAAAACTAAGGGAAATTGTCTTTGTTGGCCAAAGTCACATAGTTCACAAATGGCAAGACCAAGAGTCAGATCAAGGGGAATGACTGCAGAATGCATACATTCCATCTCCAATTACTTCAGTCTTGAAAATCAGCCTTCAGAATGTCTTTTGGCTAAAAGATTTTGCATTTGAGATTTCCATCTAAAATTAAGCCACAGTTTATACTTTTGAGATATTGATCTGTCCGCTTGTGGCATTGGCTTGCTGGTGCTTGGTTATACATCCAGCCTCCTTCTCCAACCTGACCTAGAATCAGCAATACCCACCAAGAGATAAGGAGTGTCATCAGAGAGCCTGCAGGGGAAACCAGAAAA